ACTCTAGTCCGGCCGGGAGCAGAGGGGCGGGGGCCAGAGGGAAGTGGGCGGGAGCCGCGGACTGAGTCGCTGGCGTCCCAGGGCGCTTGGCTGCTGTGACCCCGCGCGGGCAGGGCCGGGATGAGCGATGGCATCGGTCAAGGTGGCCGTGAGAGGCCGGCCAGGTGGCCGTGAGAGTCCGGCCCATGAATCGCAGGTGAGTGAGGCCGCCCGCCCCCACCCCACCACCTAGCCGTACCCCCTCGCCGTTCTCCCACCCCAGGGAAGCTGCTCTCCAGCACCCCTCAAAGGCCAGCCTGGACTTCGGTGTCACGGGTCGAACCCCGGCCCACCTGGCTCTGGCTCTGGGGGCCTGCAGGACTTGGTGCTTGCTGGCCGGTCCACGCAGCTCTGGAAAAGGCCTGGGGCTAAAGAGTTCCCGAGGCAGAGAACACTCCTAACTCTCCACCCCCTATTAAGTTGAGGTTTGCTTCTCCCTCCCTCCTTCCCTTAAAAGGCCGGAAGGAATCACTTCCATGAAGGTGGGAAAATACTTGGCTGGAATGTGGGAGTGTTGAGCGGGGCACCACCAGCTGTCAGAGGAACTCAGAACTTCTCTATTAACTATACTTCTTAGTCTCTTAGAAATGATTGCGAGTCCGTGAATGTGGACCCAGGCTTCTAATTAGTAACTTAGCAGTTCTTAAACTGCAGGTTAACGGGAGAATAGGAGGACTTTGACAAAGTTTTGACTCCTAGGGAAAAAGTCAAGGACACTTCTTCTAAAGGCGTTAGGAGAGGGGGAGTTATAAACACATTTGGAATTTAATCTTGTATGTTTCTACAAAGTAATGCTTTTGAGAATGATTTGACTCATTTATTGAAAAATAACCTGTGCTTCCTTTTCAGTGACCTCTCTTATCAGTTTAAAAGATGCTTTGGAAAAGTTTTTAAAGTTAGTCTTTAAAGAATGAAGTAGACCTAAATAGGGTGTGTCCTCTTAGTTGATAGCAGCAGTTGACACAAAGCCATTTGTGTTGACTTCTCAACTCAATTGCTGGATATGTCATCTACCCTATGGCCTTCTCTACCTTAGTCTTATCAACAAGTGGAGGTCATTGTTCTGACAGCTGATCGGGGCATCAGAAGATCATAAAATCAAGAGATTTCCAGAATCCTATTTGACTTATCTGAATCCGTTTTCTATTGATAAGTAGTGAATTATCTTTCTGGTTTGTAACTGTTGAAAACTGGTGCCGTTTTGTGATTTTCAAGTTCTTCCCAAAGCTGTTCAGAGGAATTTTGATTCTTCTTGTAAGCTTTAAGAGAGTATTTACATTTTTGTGTTCAAACTCAATCATACAAGATAAATAGACCCCAAAAGTCACGTAGATGATTTTAAAAGAGTTTTCATTTTGTATGTATTTATGTGTATGTAGATGTTCTTTTTCTTCTTTGCAATAACATGAGCGCGTGCTAGGAAAGTGTACTAAGTAACTTTGGCAGGCATTTATTATGTACCAGCATAGCACTGGGTGCTGTCTGGGTACAAGTTGAACGGAGCCTGGAAGTGTGTTTTAGAAGTTCCTTGTTGAAATGAGGAGGGATTGCAGACCTGCATGACTCTTGTAAAGCACTGTATCTGATGGGAGGGGTGTTGGGAGTTCGGTACCTTCAGGCCTGGAGCCCAGGTCCATGGAGAGTTGGCAAGAAACAAGTCTAGAAGCCATAGGCTTCAAGAGGTAGATTGATGTGATGTGTGTGCTCTTAGCAGAGGACTCTGGTGGCATTAGGATTGAGGCAGGAGGTAAAGAAGCAATGTTTTGGGCCACGTGGAAATAGGAAGATGTGATAGAGAGACCAAGACAGTTCACCTGCAGAATCGATAGGATTTAGCAACTCATTGGATGGGATAGATGTTTGATGCCAGAAGGTAGTTGCGGTTTGGGGAAGGTGGACTTTGAAGTGAATGTGCTCTCTTTACCTGAGAGGCAATGAACGTCAAGTACAAGTACAATGTCCAGCGCAGGGCGAGTGCTGCACACATGCTGACCTTGTTCATTATTTGGAGTGTGGGAAACACATCCATTTCTGCTGGAGGTGCTCAGCAGACAGCTGAAAATGTGGCCTCAGGTGATTTGGGGAAATCTTTTGCATGTGGATGATGGTTTAAGAATGTCAGGTGAGGAGAAATGGGAGCTAGGGGTTGGACACTGGAATATGCCTCTCTTTAGAATTTCAGGGAAAGATGGTCTTCAATCCATAGAAGAGAACCAGTCCAACACACTGTCAAGGCAGGGAAGGGAGAAGAAATCCCTGAAGGAGGTGGTAGCAGTTGGTGTCAAATGTTGCCAAGATGGCGAGAGTAAGATGAGGTCCTTGGTCTCAAAGAGACTGGTAACCTTCCAAAGAAAATTTCAAGGAAAGTTGATGATAAGAAAGTGGCAGTAAAGTAGAAAGAGATAGAAATAGCCAATTTAAAATAGTTGACATATGCATATGGAAGAACATGAACATTATAATAGTATGATATGAAACCACTTTTTCCCAAAGACACCGGCGAATATTAACAGCATCAATTGCTGTTCAAAGAGTGGTGAGACAGGCACTTTCATGTTGGTCATGGAAACCTAAAGCATTAAAACCTCTGAAACTTTCATACAGAGAAATTTCACAATCGTGGTCAAAATTAGAAATTTTAGACACTTTGACTTGGCAATTTTTTTTTTAAGATTTTTTTTTTTTTTTTCTGGGGGACCCGCAGACGATGGCATAACGATAACTTCACTGATCTTCCACATAGCTGACTGTGATTCGAGCCTTGGACCCAGTGGCATGAAATTCACGCCAGGTGCCTCTGTGTGCATGCCCAAAGATCCCAAGAGAAGGAGGAGAAAGCGATTCAGGTGTGAGCATAGCCCCTGCGGGGGTTATCTCTCCATTTCTGTCTCTCTTTCCAACAAGCGTCCACTTCCTGTAGCAAAATCTCTCTTTGGAAAAACAAAAAGCAACAACAAAAAACCCACATAGGGTGTGTGGGCTCGCTGGAGAGAGAGAGAGAGAGAGAGAGAGAGAGAGAGAGAGAGAGCGCGCGTGAGAGCGTGCACGAGAGAGCGAGAGAGTGAGCGAGTGAGCGAGCGAGCCACAGAGAGATTTTCCCTCTTTCCACCTCCCAAAGGGGATGGCCATGTTGCCATCCCTTCTCCTTCATTCTCCTCTTGGAATTTTGAGCATGCATATACACAACACCAGGCATGATTTTCAAGCTGTTGGACTAGAAGCATGGTTGGCTATGGAGGAGTCCCATGCCTAAATTACCATGCCACTCGTTGGCCCTGGCAATTTTATTTCTAAGAGTTTATTATATGGATTATATCCCCATGCACTCTGGTGTATGTGTAGGGATATTTGTTGTCTTGTTTGTGAAAGCAAATATATAAATAAATAAATGCCCTGAATATACAAAGTTGGGGAATTTGTTAAATTATAACCAAAAAATCATTTGGTGGAATGCTATGCAGTAGTTAAGAGTATATTGGTCTTGAAAGACTTCCAAGATAGAAGGGTAAGTGAGCAAGACATTTATACATATCCACAAGTACCATGGGGTATTGTTGAGTGTGTAAAAAATGTGCACACATATATGCACACACAACTATATCTCTTTTTCATTTTTTTGGAGAGGTTTCCGCTATAGGACGCGTGCACTTGCCAGACAGAGAGACAGAAAGTGAGAAATCACTCCCCAGGGGGTATGGCCACGCCACAATCCCTTCTCCTCCATTCTCCTCTCGGGATCTTGGGCACGCACACACACGTGCCCGGCATGAGTTTAAGCCATCGTGTCTGGGACTCGAACCGTGGTCGACTACATGGGAGTCCAGCAACATAGACATTACGCCAACTCCTGGTCGCGCACACACAACTATATATATATGTAGAACAAATCACATAAAACCTAGTAGTGCTAGTAGTGATATTTCTTCTAAAATGGACTGATGAGTTAGATGAAGATGGAAGGATATTTTTCCTTTTTTTTTTTACTGTTTGAATTTTACTTTGTTCATGTGTAGTTTTATAATTAATAATTAAAAATGTTTTATGGAATTTTAAGAAATTTCCCAAAGAAAGGTCATTGGCACTAGAAAAATGTTTTAGTCTATTAGTTGGGGAGGATTGAAGGAATTTGTGAATTTTTTTTAATGTTAGCATTTAATTTTTCTTTTAAAAATTTGCACGTGGGCACTCCCAAGACAAATGGAGAGAGAGGGAGAAAGCACCCCAAGTGGGCTGGGGTCACAACACAGTCTCTTCCCCTCCGTTTTTCCCTTTTGGAATTTGAGGCACCTATACACATTCCCCTGGGGTGCTTTTCAAACGGCATGGTCTGGAACTAGGCAATGTGGCCTCAGGCTGGATCTATTGTTAATATTTAGAGTAGAGGAGCTTCAGGTAGAGGGGGACCAACCAACAAGAAAGGCCTGAGTGATTAGTAAATGAGGACCACTTTTGTAGCCTAATCTCAAGGATGGGGAGCAGGCTGTAGGATATTGAGTTTGATGGAGTTTCAGAGCCAGGAGGCTTTGCAGTCATCAGTCTTGGTTGTATAGAACTAGAGTGAGTGTATTTGTTTTCATTACCTATGGCTTTCTGTTATGTGGCTGAAGAAGTCATTTCAAATGCAAAAGTGATTATATTGCATAGGTTTAATAGTAGCCAACTTTATTGCAAGTTTGCTCTGTGCCACATTCTCTGGCCTGAGCATCAGGGACAAAATCAAATTAAGAGCCAGCTGGTGGAGAGGTGGGTAAGGTGGTTGGATCCCACATGGCTCACTGCATGGTTTGAGCCCCATTCCTGGTAACTTGAAAAACACACCCGCTGCATTCGAATGTGTGCCCAAAATCCCAAAAGGAGAAAGATGGAAGAGAAGGGACTGCGGCATGACTGTACTCAATTGGGAGTGGGGGAATTGCTTTTTTTCACTTTCTATTTCTCTCTGGCAAAATAATAAAAAATTCTGAATAGAATTGAATCTTTGCATTAATTATAGCAGGGATTAAATATATAGAGATCATCATTGTACCATTTTACAGATTGGGAACCACTGTCTTTGTTTGGACTGCTCTAACAAAGTATTGTAAACTGAATGGTTTGTAAACAAAGATATTTATTTCTCATCGTTCTGGAGGCTGGAAGTTCAAGATTAAGGTGCCAGCAGATTTAGTATCTGGAGAGGACACATAGGTGGTGACTTCTTTTTCTGTCCTCTCATGGTGGAAGGTGTGAACAAACTGCCTAGCACCTGTTCTGGAAGGCAGGCCCTTATTTGTGAGGGCACTTTCTCCTAAAAGCTCTACCTTTTAATAGCATTTCATTGGGGCTTAGGTTTTTAACATTTGAATTTTGAGAAGACACAATCA